TTTTTGACACTTCTGGGTTGGCTTCATTTTTCAGGACCGGTTGCTACGTCCATCTTTTATACAGTCTATGGTAAAAACGTGGGGGGAGAAAATACATAGAAATTATTGCAGATTATCTAAAACATGTTTGTCTTCTGTTGCCTGTTTTTGTCACTTCCAGGCAGAAGAGACTCACTGGTTTAACAAAATCACTCTAAATCAGACATTGCAGGGGTATGAAGAATTTGAGTGTGTTTAGACCCCCCACAGCTGCTTCCTCTTGACTTCATTATAGAGCTTGATAAGTCCTTACTTCATACCCCATTTCAAAGAGCGCGATTGAAACATCAGAGCCTCTTTCTTGTCTTTTTGATGCAATGAGACAGTGAAACGAGTTGAGCTTTTTGATATCTTTTTTTTTTTACCTGCTGCCTGCCTTCTTTGCTTTATTCACTGTTGATACAGCCTTCAGCATCTTCACTGTCTCACCATGCAATGACACAACGTTCACCTATTGCACATAGCCGAGTGCATGAGAGTTAAGTTTCCCAACTGTGTTTGCTATGAGGAAGTGCCCTTCCAAGGAATCTTTGCTGTTAATCATTATCATTTTATTTTACTGTGGAAGTAGAATTAAACTGTATCTTACCAAGTGAAGATGCCCTATTCAAAGATGTAAAGACTTTTTGTATTTAATCTAGAATTTATTTCCCAAAATATTGCAAATTCTGAAGCACTGCAGGTGTTGAAATAATGTTGCTTCGTTTCTAGTTAAGAGTTGCACTGTGATGATTTACAACAGCATTGCGACTGAAGCACAATTTATTGTTTTAAACATACATTCGTTCCAACACTTTAATTCCCTTATAATGAATTTATCATCAAATAAAATAGACTGCCAGGAAATAAGTAATTAAAAAGTACTTATTGATAAAAGTAATGCTAGCTCTTAGATAACAACCTGGTAAACGCCCTCTGATGGCAATGCCTAGAAATGATGTTGTTGCATGCCTGGCCAGTAAATATTTAGCCTCAAACTGGAGAATGTGTGGAAAAAAACAAGGTTTTACTAGATGAGATGTGCACAGCTATGGGCCTCGTAGTATCGGTTGTAGAGAAACAGTTAGTCAGTCAGCTGCTTTGGCTGAGTGCCCTTAACCGGCTTTTTGTTGTTGGAAAGCAGCTGATACCCGCTTGCCAAGACTTCTGCTGTAATAATATCACTGTCATCACTGATGGCCATAAGGATGCAAAGGGGATTTCCAATGTGGATGATCGTTTTCAGTGATAAACAGTGCTTTCTGAGAAGTGAACAGATTCTTCAACCTTTTTTTTTTCTTTTAGTTTATAGCCAATACTCGTGATTAATCTGTCTTTTTTCAATATGTAGGCAAACATTTTTTGTCATATTTAACTTCGTATTTACATTGCAGAAAACCACAGCAAATATTACAAATCGTTTTATTTATCATTGGCAGTTGTTCTGTTTTTAGAGTGAACCTGCACAACCCCCAAAAACCTGCTGTCTGCACTGCAGCACAGTAATAATTGTGGTTATTCAAAAACATAACTGCAATGTTGAAAAGTGACACTCAGCAAAAATAGAACCTTTGGACACTCACGTGATTACATTTAGATTTTTTTCAGCACAGTCTGTTGCTGTTCCGTAAAAAAAACAACATGTTTTTATAGTCTTGTTTGGATATACTGGCTAAGGTCTGCCCTTTCATCCTTCTGGTGTGTTTTCTACTTAAATCAATCGGCCTCGCTGATCTCTGGCCCGTGGTTGACGACCCAGAGCCAAATCCTTTCAATAGCTTTGGCCAAGCTCAATCCCCCTGAGCTTGAGCCTTGGCACATGATTGGATAAGAAGAATGTGGGCTGGTACCTCACAGTTCCACCTTGACAGAGGGTTAGTTTTAGTTTCGTTTTGAGTGTGCACCACTATCGGCACACTACTTGCATTATGACGATGTGTACTTAGGAAGAAACTGAAAATATCACTTGTTCAGAATGTGAGGGCTGTTGACCAGTCAGTAGTTAACACAGGGCACAAGGAGATGCCTGGTTCACTAAAGATTCATAGCAGGTAGGAGCTGTTCTTGTTCTTTATTCTTTAACTTTCTGTAGCTGGCTCTCTTTTGCCATCTGTGTCTCTCACCGGCATTTTTTTCTAATCTTGCCTCTGTGCCTGTCCTGAGCTAAGATGTATGCTTCTCTTATCTTTCTCGTTTATTTTATAGCTAAAGCTGCTGTTGTTGCCGGCTTTGGGCACTTGGTTTCAGATTTTAATAGAATCAGCTATTCAATCACTCACACTTTGGTTTTAAAAGGAAAGGAGACTAAGGGACTTATTCTTGAACTGTTGTGAGTAACCAAAACTGAAAGTGTTTTCACCTTTGGGTTAGAACTGATAAAACATGATTTAATGTGGTATTCCAATTAGGGCCAGTCCGAATAGCAATGTGTGCATGTTTTCTGTAATATGTAATATATTTGGGGGTGCGGAGTGCGTGGTGGCGGCGGGTTGGTTCGTTCTGGGGGGGGGGCACAGGCAGCGTGTGGTGTGTTAGCATTCGGCCTGACGGAGCAGCAGTGAGCATGCGTTTCCACCATCAGTGGCAGTGGGCTGGGGTGGGGGGGAGGATATTCGGAGATCAAAATTTTCCAGCACAGCGAACGAATACTAAAGCACACACAGTATTGTGAGGGGCAACTATAACAATACTAGTCACGTGTTAAGATGTGTTTTGCTTACCTGCTTGACATGGGATATTTTAAAGTGGCGAGGTCACTTATCATCTGCTTATTGCACTGTAGAAAACGCTGTGGTCTTGGCAGCTATAAAGTGTGCCTTTTTGTGGATGAATGAGAGTGAAGTATTTCATTTTTGGAAAAGAACATGTTTTGGTTTAAGGTAAAAGTCAGTTAGCAGCAGTTAAAACAAACTAAACCTCTTCTTTCCTCTCCAGGCAATACCACTTGAACAGCAGCACTACCACCACCACTCCAGATATGCACATGGACATGTACTCGGGATTCTCTGACGTGGACTTTTCCAGCCTCAACCTCCCTCGGAATGGAGATTTCACCCAGGTTAGTTTCATAAAGCTGTTGTACATGGGGGGGCATGCAGTTGAAACCAGAAGTTTACACACACTGTATACAAAGACACATAAACTTTTCTTTAAATCAGACTAAACCTTTCCTGTTTTAGGTCAGTCCAGATTACAAAAATTGTTTTCTATTTGCTAAATGCCAGAATAATGAGAGAGAGAGAATATTTTTCAGATTTTTTCTTGTATTACTTTCTTTAAAGTCAGAAGTTATACAGTTTCTTAGTATTTGGTAGCATTCCATCTAAACTGTATGACTTTGGTCAAGTGTTTTAGGTTTCCTTCCACAAGCTTGTCACAATAGTTTGCTGGAATTTTGTCCCATTCCCCCGTGACAAACTGGTTTCACTGAGTCAGGTTTAGTAAGCTGCCTTGTTCCACACGTTCTGCCCACAGATTTTCTACAGGACTGAGATCAGGGCTTTGTGATGGCCACTCCAAAACGCTGACTGTGTTGCCCCACTTTGGAACTAATTTGGTGGCATGCTTAGGGTCACTGTCCATTTGGAAGACCCCTTTGTGCCCAAGCTTTAACTTCCTGGCTGATGTCTTGAGATGTTGCTTCAATATTTCCACATAATGTTCTTTCAGCATGATGCTATCTATTTTGTGAAGTCCCTCCTACAGCAGAAACTCCCCCACAACATGATGCTGCCACCCCCATACTTCACAGTTGGGATGGTGTTCTCAGGCTTGCAAGCTTCCCCCTTTTTCCTCCAGATGTATCGATGGTCATTATGGCCAAGCAGTTAAATTTTAGTTTCATTAGACCACAGGACATGTCTCCAGAAATGAAGGTCCATGTCCCTGTGTGCATTTGCAAACTGTAATCTGACTTTATTATGTTGCTTTTGGAGTAATGTCTTCTTCCTCTCTGAGCATCCTTTCAGCCCGTGTTGGTACAGGACTGGTTTTACTGTGGATAATGACACTCTCTTACCAGCTTCAGCAGCATCTTCACAAATTCTTCTGCCTTTGTGCTGGAGTTGATAGGCACATTTCACACCAAAACACTTCATCTCTGGGACACAGAACCCATCTCTTTCCTGAGCGGTATAATGGCTGGACATTCCCATGGTGTTCATACTTGTGTATAATTGTTTGACCAGATGAACGTGGAACCTTCAGGCATCTGGAAATTGTACCCAAGGATGAACCAGACATGTGGAGGTCCACAATTCTCTCCCTGATATCTTGGCTGGTTTCTTTAGATTTTCCCATGTTGTCACAACAGGAAGCAGTTTGAGGTGTGCCTTCAAATACATCCACAGGTGTGACTCCAATTAACTCAAATGCTGTCAATTAACCTATTTAAAGCTTCCAAAGCCATGACATCATCACCTGGGCTTTCCCACATAGTTTGAAGGCATGGTAATCTTAGTGTATGTAAACTTCTGACTTTGAAGAAAGTAATACAAAGTTCTCTAAACAATTCTCTCTCTCATTATTCTGGCGTTTAGCAAATAGAAATAATTTTGACTTAAAACAGGAGAAGTTTAGTCTGATTTAATGTCAGACAGGAAGAACAAAAGGTTTTATGTCTTTTTATGCAGTATATGTAAACTTCTGGTTTTAACCTTATTTATATTTGCAATAAAGCTACACACACACAAATTATAATGCCTGCAAAATCATGTTGAAAATGCTCATACATCTGCTTAACGACAGATGTTAATCTCTCTTGCTGCTTTCTATCTGCCTCCTGTTCGGTTTTAGTTGCTTATCAGAGGGAAGGACTATGCGCCCCACCCACCTCTTTCATCCTGTCTTTCATGTGTATTTAGCTCAGCTTAATTTACCGTGGAGCAACCTTATTAAAGCCTTGTGTTGTCTAGACAACTGCAGCAGCACCTGCCCCATTCCTGTCAAGGCATGTCATTAATTAGACACTGTAATTTAACATTCTTCTCCTCTTCCACACGGCACCTTCAGAAATTGCTGATAGTTAAACTCAGAATCTGTTGCAATTCTGTCCACTAAATGTGATACATTTTTTGAAGTGTTTTAGGTATGTAAGAAAGTCCCGCGGTGGTTTTAAGCTCTTGTGAATAATTTGAGTTGTCTGTGGGATTATCCTTGACCAGGGCTTTCATTTGAGAATAGGAATACTTAGACATGGGCAGTGAAGGCACAGCCTTCTGCTCATTCATTTACCCTACCGTTCCAGATGGTTACTATGCATCATTTGCATTTTCTATTTCTGTGCACTTTTGTGTTAGTCCCGCCAATTCCTTATTGTTAGCATTGTATGAACAGGAGCCAGTGTAATGACACAGTCCAGCGAGTTTCTAATTTGAAGCCATTTTGGCCTGAGTTGATGAGTGCCATTATGGAACTACATTTAAATAGAATATGCTATGATGATGAGTTTTAAGAAGGGGGGTCATGGGTTGCCAAGTCGACAGGCAGCATCCCCCTCATTAGCCTGGAAAAGGCAAAGCTGTCGTGGGTTTTCTTAGTTCAACATAAGGCCAAAGCAGTAAATAATCAGCGATGGGCTGAGATGTGACAGCCAAGATTTAGCACAACACAGGGCTTTTCTTACATTGTGTTTCTTTTTAAGGACTTCTTTTTTTAAACTTAACTGCTAATGGCTTAGATTTTATGTCCCCACATGGCCTAGTTATTATATTATTACTACATATTGTAAAAATGCAGACAGTGAGGAATGAGGATTAGAGACAGATATCTAAATTAGACATACATATCTCTAAATCGCACTAGAAAAAATGCAGTAGCAGATGTTTGGCTGCTACGTTGTTACTGCTGTAAGACAAATAAGTCTTTAATTGTACTTGAATGAAATGTCCTGTTTAAATTTAAAGAGATGTTTAATCTACACCACTCAAGTATAAATTACACACATAACCATACCAAGATATTATTTTTTGTCTAACTAAAACCTCTTATAAAACCAATTATGTATACGTCTATAACGAAATCCAGCAAATTCAAAGAAGTATTTAAATAATATTTTCATGCCATTTTTTTGTTGTTGTTTTTTTATGTTTACCCAGATCTTGTTTAGCATATACGGTAATTAAAGGATTAAAAAAATATATCTGATTTGTTTAATTAATTTGAATACAAAAGAAAACAGGATTTAGCGCATTAAACACCAATTGTATACTAACTACCTGATACCAAAGTACTAAAATGGGCAAGTTTCACATTGAAGGATTTTCCTTTAGCACCTAAGTACATGAGCTCAGCTGCGTTTTTTTCTGTCAGGAGGTTACAGTCTGTTTGGTCAAGGGTTTTTTTGTTGTTTTTTTTTTTACAATACCCAAGTGTTTTTAAGGTGCAAATCAAATGGCTAGTCGTACCAGCTTAAGCTCACAATTAGCAACACATTAATAGGAAGCACAAGTAGAGATGACAACTACACAACAGAGTTTCAGTTCATGTTTGTGTCCAGCTGTGGGGGTTAGTGTGATTTTTCCCTGGGAGTAAAAAAGAACATTGTATAAAGTTCGATGAAAATGTTTTGTTTATATTTTAAGCCGGGGAGTGTGGGGGAGATTTCAAGAAGAAAGACTGCGCATAAAGGTTTTCATTTGGAAGAAAGTGATGTGTCATCCGCATCACGCATGTGCTTTGTCGTGCTGACATGGATTTTGTGATTCATGTGGGGTTTCCCAGGTTTTCCATCTGCCTGTATTAACCTGCCTTGCTGTAGCTTTCTTCCAGACCGGTAATTTTGAGGGTTAATGTTTGTGTGATACATGCTGGATCTAATAATCTATAAAGGTATAATTAGAAGACAGTTGTTGTGTGGATTTAGTTTAAATTAGCCTGTTTATAATCAGTGCAGTTAAGAGCAGTAGGTTTGGTTTCCTCTTGTCCTGGTGGAGACTTGGAATGTTACAATGCCTGTGTGTGTCTGCGCGAGGCAGAAAGAGAGACGTTTTGTGCTCATGTTGTGCTTTCTCAGCTGTTCTTTCTGTTTTCGGACACGCCCTGCCATGTGAGACATGGGGAGAAAATCTAAGTCACGGGGTCATCATGACTAATCCGCCACCTCACACTCAGCCCCCTTTTTCACCCTCCATTACATGCCAACCCATCCCATTTTTTCCCTCCCTCGCTGTCCACATTAAAAAGTTGAGCATGATTCCTTGTGCATTTGTTTGTTCTGTTTTGTTTTGATTTTTTGCTGGTGAAACATGACCGTAAGGAAGATATGCAAGCGCACGTGACCGGGTAGAGTTGTTGATGGTATTGTTTAGTTTGTCAAGTGACTGCCATGTTTACCTCAGCAATTTCCCTGTTTCAGTTACAGCTGTAGAGTCATTAGGGAGATCTCTTTCGGTTTGCATGGCTTCCCGCAGTCTTACAGTTTGTTTATGCAGCTCACCAGAACCCAGCTGGAATATCCTCATATTTTAAGGAAACGTACTGTTGCAGCGTGTGGACAGGAAGTGTATTTCTAGATTGCTGGTAACTTTGAAACAGGAGCTGAATGTTTGTTTGCATTAGAATTAATAGACTCCCTTTTGAGACTTGATATCCTCCTCAGATTATCTGTCAGTTACAATAACACATAATCAGGAGCTAAAAGCTGAAATAGAATACGTGGCCACCGTTCTATGATGTGGATAAGGGTGATGCGCCACTTCACTAACTATTCAGTGCTAATCATTTGATATGCCAGGAACAATTTGCACCATCCTTTCCAGGGGACTTCCCCAGAAATGATAATTATACATTAAATCCTTTATTATAAACACTCAGGTTGAGCCCAGTAATAATAATAAACAGTGGAAACATTCACAAAATCAAATTTAGACATAATTATATTTACTGATCTTTGTTTACTTCAAGTGTTAACAAGAAATAATGCCAAACGGAGCGTGACAGGCCGTGGGCAGAAGTAACCCTGATATGTCAATTATGCTGACGGTGCACACATGCCCGAAGTAGTATGCAAAAAAAAAAAAAAAAAAATGCTGTAACATGAACAAATTTCACCATGGTTTG